CGCCGTCATCGTTGTTGTGCATAGGAGGATTGTCTCTTTCTCTCTCAGAGAGTTTATCTCTCAAGTCTTACGTTCTTTCTTTTTACGCACTAACACTTTCTGCTAGAACGTCTGGCAACCGTCTGAGCTTAGTCTGACAGGACATAGATCTTTACCGTTTCTCGAGGCAATGGCCTGTACGTGTGTGGTGTCTCTACAATTTCTCATTTTTCCTCTTTCTTTTCATTCTCAGTTTCCATCCGATCGCGATATAAATTCGTGTTTTCTTTTAAGAATCCCACGACTACTGAATACCCCAAACTCCTTAAAGAAAGAAAAACTTGAATATTTTGGTAACTTCTCCTATAGTCCTATACGGCGTACATTTTCGTTTGCTCGCTTTAAGTTTATTTATAACTGAAAGCTTCAGAGTGGTCTCTTTCTCTCTCATTCTTTTTCTCTTCCTCTTTCTCTACGTTCCCTTCGTATACCAAGTAAATCTTCTTGCCACTCTTCTCTTCCCTCGTTCATCTCTAACGAAGATAGACGAAATAGTTTTCGAAGACTCGGTTACAACTATCATCATACTAACAATAAGAGCTTCTTGCCAAATTGACTCATGATTTACTATAGCGTTACCAATAGTTTTAGAGTTATAATGCATGTGACCGTGATCAAAATGTTAGCTTGAATGTTTGTTTGCTTTGTCATTCGCTTTCGTATTTTTTTTTTCTTTATATCTCGATGTCATAGATCCTGAATAACAATAGCTGTAAACTTCTGTTCGAAAAATTTCACCAATGGTGAATGAATCTTATGGAGGACTATAGGGAAAATTTCAAATCACAGTTAAATTGATCTACAAAGTGTTTCTTCTATTGTCCTCTATCTATTCCACGATAAATGATCCTTAAAGATGACTTTTTTGTAATATGAACAATAGTGAACAACTATGGTGATCGATCGTTAGAACGGAATTTCGTATTCTTTTTTTTTTTATTCGAATGTGCTGCCACCTGTCGACAAAAACGCAAGCTTCTACAGTTCGTAGATACACGAAGGACGAAGGAACTTAAAAAGATCACCGTATAAGATATTTAAGTATAAATTTTAAAGTAAATCGCGCTAATTGATCAAACGAAAAAAATTACGATAATAATTTTTTAATTATATCTAATTACATTAACATTTTTTGATTCATATTAAATTATTCCAATAAGGAAATAAACTCTTAAACTAAAATGTCCGCAATGAAGCTGTCCTTTTTACGTGTTCAATGATCCAAACTAGACTGTACAATTTGATATTCAAATATCCTGTAACTAAATGTATCAGCAAGTATGCAATATTTTGGTCACGATATTTATGTTAATAAATATTGTAAAGTCAAAAAAGACGTACAAACACATGGACGTAAAAATAGTTCTTTTCTAACACCCCCCCCCCCTCTTTTTCTCAACCAAAAATTTCCGCCAACGAAAAATGATAATACCTCTCGAATTTTTTCAAGGTCGCATAATAATATCGATGTTTCGGGCTCCGATACTATGTGAGAATGGATTTAATCCATACTGATTATTCACGCATTATCGAAACAACGATTTTTCTTTCTTTTTTTTTTGTTTGACAAGAAAAAATCGATCAAGTAAAATATGTTTCGAGCTTTACACCAACAAATGACCTAAATTATCCATGATTTCGTAATCTCTAAGCAGAAGATTGAGTTTGCATCGACTTAACGTGAGTTTATATACGTAACCACGTATTATCTCTATCATATGTTCTATAAAAATAAAAGAAAAAAAGAAAATCAAAAGGAGGATAAAAAAAAGGTAATCGATGTTGAGGATTAGAAAAAATAAAAGAGAGACTACTCAAGTTCGAAGTGGCCACGTTCGGGAGCCATTGAAAGTCAAACGCGGTCGCTTTAAGACCTTACACTGCTGATTCTTGAACATATCACCTAGTCGAGTGCAAATCGATAGAACTTTTTCATAGAAAATATACGGACTAGTTGTTCGAAAAATGGTCTAATGATATTAAAAATTCATTTGATTAATTGTGTTAAAAATAAATCGCCGATAAAATATTAAGAACCCGTAATAACCGCGTAACTATTAAATAATCGTTATAAATATGAAATAAAAACCGGTTTCTTTCTTTAGTATTAAATGAAAATAAAAATGTTAGAATCATTTTTATTAACGAGACATAGGGAAGGGAAGGGATAAAGACTCATATAGTCGGAATATTACAACGTGTACATTATCGTTTAGGTGGATTACGAATAAACTCTACACGAGACAAACGCACGTGCAAATAACAGGTACATGTATACCTGCTGCTGCTGCTGCATCGATCATTACACGCTTGGAACATAACGATTATTACGTAACGAGCCTTCTCAAAGTTTACGGAAATATGAGACACATATAATACGCAGCGAATATATTCATTGTCGTTCATTATCCTCGTTCTATTCGTGGGGTATCTTAAAATAAAACGAGTTATTATTATAGTTAGCGTATTAGTTTAGTAAAGAATTGTGAAACAATATGACGCGCGCGCAGGTATATTCGTGGAGCTTGCACTTGCAGCAGTTAGCAAATTGGTTGATAAGAGTACGCACGACGACATCCTATGACGGAGACATACAATGTTGCATGACAATAAAATTAGATGATGAATCTAAAGAGTTAAAACCACGTGCAATTAAATAATGAAAAATAAAATGATTCGTACTTTTTCTTTTTTTTCCTACATCGAAGACACCACTCAGCCTGAAGATGTCGCAATCGACACCATGACCTGCGCCATTTTTAATCGCGAATTGCTTGTAGAACACGTAGTAGATATATACATATAATATATGTATATATATATATATATATATATATATATATATATTATATGTATATAATGTATATATGTATATATATATATATATACATATATTACATACGATGGAGAAAGAAAATTCCTTCGGGACGGACTATTCGTTGGCAAGAAGGCGTGCGCGATCGATAAGCGACATCACCAAAATCAATAACAGCTCGTGCCACGTCGTACTAACGCATAAATAGCATACGAAATTCGAAGCTAACTTAGCTACCGCTAAGAGGTCACTGTCCCTATAATTATTTCTCGTCATAATCTCTATGCTCATCATAATATAATGTTTTTGAATAATTTTCTAAACAAGGATGACAGAGCAGAAAAATCGATTTTTCTTTTTTTTTTTTTCTTTTTTCTTATTTTATATAATTTCTCGCAATATTTGCTATATATATTTACAGTGTCATTAAAGCTTCGACATTAATTTAGCTTTTCAATCTTGCGATCGCGAACGCGTAGTTTTCGATTTTTTTTTCTCCTTTTTCGAATTGCAAGATCAAAGACTGCAATGTTGAGACAAGAAGATATGGCCTTGATCGATTTTTCTCTTGGCCGAATAACTGTTACTACTTTTAAATATCTTTCGTTACTTTGGATTTTATGAAAAAAAAAAGGAAAAAACAAATGCTTTAATCAATATCGCACTAATATTCTAAGGGCATATCTTATGACAAGAGAGAAATATTTGTTCTCGTGATTTCGAATATTATTCGAATTTTTGTGTAAATGAAATCAACCTTTTTTTTCTGCACGAATTGATTCCTCGTGACATTCTAAATGGGAAAAAAAGGAGCAAGGTCGTAGAAAGATTTTTAAAAACGTCTACTGTCTCACCCAATTGTAACACGCATGATAATAATGCATATGAATTATTGTATTTGCAAACGAAAAATATAATTATTAATGTCTGATTCAAATTGAATTAATTCATCTGTTTCCTTTGATACTTCTGTCTAACATCAACTGACAAAGAATACGACATGCTATAAAAAATATTTTTGTATTCAGAATGACAGAAAAGAACCGAGTCATGAAAAAATAATTAAAGAGAAAAAAGATTACTGAAAAATCGTAAAAAATTGTAATTCCCTCAATGAGATGTGCACTTTCGAAATGAAAATTAATATTATTGTTTTTTTAAAACTAATTTGGACCACCATTTGTAAAGTAATAATAATTATTAAACCACCCGATAGATGAAGGTAACATCCGCTAGAAGATGTCAAAAGTTTCTATGCTCGACGATATTAAAAGAAAAATATATTTTTTTCATTTAATACGTACAAATATCATCCGAAAAAGTTACATAAAAATAAAATGTACAAATATATTTAAAGAATAGAAAAGTTAACATAGAAAAATACTCGTCCAATTATTCAGAATTTCTCAATAGCGTCTGACCATCGAACGGCCATGACAGTTGGTGTGACTTACGTAGTAGGTAGCAGACTATAAAATCGATTACTCTCGATAAATCTAAGAGGAAAACGATATAAAGTGAATCTAAGTAAAAAGAATGCGATACATTATTAAAATTATTGATCGTTAGGTAAGTTACTAAGAATCATTTATGAAAAAAAAAATAATAATAATAATAATTCGTGCGTTTTTCGTAGGGGAAAAGCCAAGTATTCGCCATGCTTAGAATTCATGAGAAAGGAAGAAACGTGAATGGTTCGTTCGTTTGTCCGTCGAACGAGGAAAAGGAAACTTCTCTATCCCTCCCTAATATCATTACCCTTCCGCCCCACCTCGCTATTTCTCGCTTCTCTTTCATTTCATCTCTTTCAACCTCGGATGGATGAGACCGAATAGAACAAAAACATTGGGTGGGATTCAAAAGTTGCAAATATCGATAATTACATAAAAGGTGCTTGTGTATAAAACTGCGTCATTCTGTACGCGTGGGTGGTGGTGGTGGTTGGTAGTAGTAGTAGGAAAGAAAGAGGGGGAGGAAGATGAAGAGGGAGGAAAAGAGAAAGAGAAAGAGAGAAAGAGGAAAGAGAAGAAAAAGGGAGCGAAAAGTGGGGGAAAAAAGTATCGCAGGTGCCGGTCTGGTTTAACGGAGAGTAAGAGACGAATAAGAGAATACATATGAAATGTGTTATACCTCAATGAATGCTCACCTGCATGTTGTTTTCGACAACATATTCTACCGAACACATTTGATAGACGATATATGCTCTAATGAGCTCCATGTTGGTCTTGCTTTTGAAGGCAGCAATTGGGTCGTTAAACTTCAAATCTAGCGGATCTATCTGTCTGGGTGTTTTTGCTTGATCCGACGCCGGTTGTTCGCTGCCGGTCACTCTATTGGTACTGGCATATCCACGTTCGATCAATCGCACCAATGCAGCTGAGACTTTTTGATCGCGTAATCCAACCACGGGGAGTGGCACGCGTTTTAAAATCTTTTTACCGGCGCAACATCGCGGCACCGTTCTCAAAAACGCCATTACTCTCTTTCTCTTTCTCTCTCTCTATCTCTCTCTCTCTCTTTCTTTCTTTCTCTTTTTTTCTTTCTCTTTTTCCTTTTTTATATATAGTATGTATAAATATGTATGTATGTATGTATGTATGATGTACGAATGTATGTATATAATGCGTATTCTTTTGCAAACGTGTACCGAACAGTCCGAATAGGCGAAGAGCCGACGAGAGAAACGATTACCGCGATCGAAACCCTCTCGCCGAGTGAGGCCTTACGCGCGACTGTGTCTCGCCTGGGGCGTCGAGCTTCCCTCTCCCTTCTCGACTCCCTCTCTCTCTTTTTCACTCACTCTCTCTCTCTCTCTCTCTCTCTACTGCTCTCTCTTTCTCTCTCTATCTCGCGCGCTGCTGCGATTTATGTACGGACCCACCGGTATCAATATTACTACTGGGACTTGCTTAAATAAACAGCCTGTTTTTGTCAATAAATATAAGAGGCACCCCGTATATCCACCAACAAACAAATAATAAACTACTTGAAAAATGTTGTCTTCATTCGATAGAGAACTACTCGACGATGATCGGATTTAGATTCTTCGTTTCTTTTCTTTCTATCGATTTTATTTCTCTCTCTCTCTTCCTCTCTCTCTCTCTCTCTCTCTCTTTCTCTCTTTATATTTCTCTTTCACTTTACTTCCGTGTTTCTTCGATTTTATAGAATTTATTATTTTCTCTCGCGAGTGTTATAATTTGTCTTCCTTTTTTTCTTTTTTTTTTTTTGCAAAAGAACAATAGAAACGAGTTTCGACCATCGAACGTATATACACTTACAAACCTACACGTTTGAGTCGGCGGAGTAGAGTAAAATCGAGCAGACTCTTTGATTGGTCCGTTTAGAGGAGGTGTGTTCCATCAAGCGAATCCTTATTGGTAGATATCATTTTTGGTCAACGGTAATGGCCGCGCGCAGCGTACATACACTGTCCTATTCCTAGAAATAATTCATATTACTTTCTTTTTAATATGATTTGATTTTCTTTACTGTTATTTTATTTATTTCTTCTTCCGTGTACTTAATATTTCCATTTATTATATCAATTTATGAATAATAAACAATCCTATCAATTATTACTTTCCTTTTTACTATCGATTGTTTAAACTGATCGATAAGTCATTAATTTTATTGCAGATTTTTAAATAAAAACGAATTAAGAGAGCATGTATTCTAGAAACAAAAAAAACGGTTATATTTACATTCAAACAATGTTAATAATAAATAACATTAACAAAAACAAAATGAAATATTAAAGGAAAAATACGTTTGCAAAACCCGCTCTCCAGGCCAGGATCCTAACGTCATAAACAACACATCTAATAGAGTTCTGATAAGCAATGAAAATTTTAGTCACCCTTTAGCGTCCTGTATGAATTTAGCATGGCAATTGATCATTCTGCTAATGGCTATTACTAAAATAGCGTCATAATCGTTTCGGTTTATGGTTTTTTATTTAACCGTATTATGGTTGCGTGAAAAAACTCAATATTTCCTTTTCTTTGATCTATCGTTGATAGCAATTAGATCAGCCAATCAGCGACTATACTCGAACGATAGTAGCACCTCTTGTGGATAATTTTATTAAATCTTCTATATTTAGAAATATATCTATAAGTATCCCGGAGTACTGCATAACACGTTAAATCAAACGAAATTTTAAATCTTACCTGTGACAGTTTGTGTAACTGTAAAGTAGCAAGAAAAAATTTACAATTTCATAAAATAATTCTAGAAATAATAATACATTTTAATATCATTTGTGAACGTAATTGTTGCAATAATCGAATTTATAAATATCACAATTAAATAATCAAGATTTGAATTTCTAATTCCAATAGAATTAATTTAACCTATGCGCGAGGTTCATCATTTAAATTGTTTCCAACGATATTTTCAATAACTGACAGTGACATGCGAACTATTAAGCATTATAGTGAAGTACATTTATCGTTTTGCAATATTTTTATACTCTTTATATCTTGAAATATTAATATTTGTCTATAATATAAGAAATGGAATTACCATTAAGGCTAGTAGTACAAAAAAATGATACAATTTACGACGATATTATGTTAACTTGGAATTATGCGACTAAATTTAAAAATCAAATTAACGAAAATGAAGTTCTATTAAATCCCGATATTTCTAATCAAAAGTCGCAGCGCAAAACCATATTAGTTCTCTTAAATCTTAAAGGATTTAATGCTTATTTGGCCTCATTGTATGTTCATTATTTGATAAAATCTGATATTTATCGTAAAGCTGCGTTACAGGTTTTATTGGAACGTTTCTCTTTAATGACACATAATCAAGACTGCATATACTTATTTTTAATGAAATTACGTACACCGAAAAAGCAATTTTTAGATTATAAATGGTAAGCCATATATATTCGAGAAGGATAGATTAAAAATTTTTGAGCCTGTTATTTTCTAAAAAGTTTGACTATGTCGAAAATATAAAATTGAGTTTGAAACGAAAGAAAATAATTGTTTTTATGTTAGGCTCAAAACTTTTCAATCCACCTATGTAAAAACATGACTTATAGATCTCATGGAATACATTGAATCATTTTTTTTATATAAAATTGTACTCTTGTAGGAATGATAGAATAAACATATTGGTACTAGAAGCAAGAGAAATAGATTTTGCTATGTCATGGTTATCTACGCTAGGAGGAGCATTTTCTTCATTAGGCGAAAAATCTCAACATTGTGTAAGTTGTACGGTTTTAACGTATTATAGCTGTGCAAAAATAGTTTAGTTAGTTTAATTAGTTTTAAATATGATCTTTCTATTTGCTTTTTTGTTCTTGTAATAATATATTCTTATATAGTACTATAGCTTTTAATATAAAAAAAGAAAAAAAAAGAAATATTAGTTAATAAAGATGTACATTTTATGCAGGCTCAGGTGGCAGGAAATATTTCGATAAAACAATATCAATTAGCGATGCGTCTTGGAAATCCTCTTCTAGTCGCTCGTTGTAAATTATACACAGCCTTAAGTTTAATACAGCAAGGTTATTTCAAAATTCCGATACGTGTGATAAGAAATGTATACAAACTTGCGATGGATCAGAACGATACGCGTCTGCAAAACATGTGCCAGGGTATCTGGACAAAACTTCAGTACTGTTATAAGCAAAAAAAATTGAAATCTAAGAATCATTGACATCTTGTAACTTTATTAAAATGTATATATATATATATATATAGGATAGGTTAAAAATTTTATATATATATATATATATATGAGACGTATAGATAATAATGCTATGAAAATTTTAAATAGTACATATATATATGATATACATACATGATATTTGTAAATTCTTAAGTAAAATTAGAGAATAAAAAAAAAGAGAGTTTAAAAACGTTGTACAATATTCCCAGAAAGTTTTATATATTTTTTTTCATGTTTGTTGTTATAAAGGCATCTTAGATTACTATTACATAATATTGCTTTGTACATAGAAAAAATAATAGTAATAATAAAAAATAATTTTTTTACCTACAATTTGAAACATATCCGTGAAATAGGATGACTCTCTTTATTTTTGTTGATTTTGTCCGATTTTTCAAGATAATTAAAAAATAAAGTAAGAAATATTTTAATAATACAGCTGACGCGATGATAATAATAAGCTTAAGAAGAACATTCAATGGTAACTAAAACTCCCTGATCTCTCTTTTTTTTATTTAACTGACTTATGATCCATTCAGATTCTATTTTTACTGTCCTTAGATCACTTCTTTCACAAGGACTATTGTTCATCACTGAGCAAGAGTACCCATTGGATCCCATGCCGGTAATGTAACAGGTTCCTGCTCGAATACAGCTAATACGTCAGCAGGTACAAATTTTTTATCTACAACAGCTTCAAAGACAAACTCTGAGAACCATTCCGCTGTTAAAACGTGGTAACCTTTCTGACCGTGATCTTCTCCCCATGAATTTTCTACTCTGAACTTTTTTATTTTACTTTCATTCTAAAAATCAATACAAATATATATACTCGTTAGTTTATATTCTAACACCACAATTATTGTTCTAATAATATATATATGTAAAAAACTTACATCGATAGATACAGCTGTAAACACCATCGCGTGTATCATCATAGAATCCCCATAAAGTAATCTATCTGCCTTTGAAAGGCCTATCTGTACATCAGTTCCAAACATCAATTCAAAGTCATAGGCTCTAATGTCATGAATACCCTGTTTGCCTATTAATCGTTTGTTGACGTCGCACCCGAACCATACCGGCTCATTTTGTTTTATACTTTCTGCGCATAATTTCATTAATAACTCTGGTGGCTGATTATTATAAAGTGTTGATCTTCCTTCCACAACGTTTCCTAAACAATCTACCGTATAAAGTTTTCCATAAGGATTGGATGGTCTTGGATCAGTGACAAGACACACTTTATCATTGACATTATAATATGGTTTAACATATTTTTCATAAAATTCGATAGGCGTTATTGGTCCGATGCAACTATAGTTTTTGGATTTATCGTAATATTCCCATGTTATTGTTTCCGATGGAATACCAACGCAAATTCCAATTATTCTATAAATTACAATCATCTGTTTCATTATTTGGTCTTCTAATTCTTTATCAGAAGCACCATTAGCAACTAAGCCTCTTAGAACTTTGGAATATTCTCTCAGTTTACTCTTCAACAGACTGTTCATGCGGACGCTAGCTTCGCAACTGTATGAATCTGGAAAGCATGGCTTCGGGATAACACCATAACGATTTATGAGATTGACTATCATATCCCATTGACCTCCGTCGCAAGTAGGATCGTGCAATAAAAATGATACCAATCTTCCTTCCACCGATTCGCCACGTTTCGCGGTTTTAACGATATTATGCAAAAAGTAATTGCATCTTTCTATCTGTAATAAATAAACTATTTCAATAATATAATACAATTATAAATGATATTTAATAGAAACAAAATGAATATTTTGTAAACCTTATCCCAGAAGAAAAGATAAGCTTGGCTAAATTCAAATTCATCCAAATTATATTGCTTCATAAAAACAGTTCTGATAACATTTAAAGTTGCGAATATCCAACATCGTCCGGAATTTTTCTGATTCGTCATAGGTTTGCCTTCGGTATCGATTTTATGAGTGAAGACATGTTGAGTTTCTTCCAAAACTTTTCTCGATATACAAGCTTCGATAGGATTTGTCTTCGTACAAACATTTTGTGCTTGTACGTTTCGAGTATCTGCATAAAATTTCGAACGGAACTGGCTCAGTACCTCCGGCGTTAAGACAGATGCTGTTGAGAAAAGATATTCTTGTTTTAATCATAATGAAGATTAGATAGTACGAAAGAAAACAAATATTATATTAAGATAATAAAGATAATATGCTTTATGAATACGTAGCATTCGGTAATGCTATTGTATTCTTTATTAAATAATCTTTGATCGAAATACTCTGGGGGCCCATTATTTGCGAGATACTTCAATACAATGTTTGTCCAAAAAAAAAAACAATAAATAATTAGCATGAATACAAAATTAAATAATAAATAAAAGATCTTAGGGGACATGACAATGGTTGTATTCTGTTCAGTAATTTGAAAAAAAGGAAATCATTACACATGTGTAAGATATGTGCTCCTTTGTAGATTCTTTAAAAGGTCTTGCATGACATCGCAACAATATTCTATTCAATTCAATTTAGAATTGCAACAATATTCTATTATTCTATTTAATTAAAACTACTGCAATCTTTTAAACAATATCATATACGTTAAAATATGATAATACGAATTAAACGAATATATAATAATATAAATTGTAATATACTGTAAAAAAAAACCTTAAATCTGTGATCTCTTGAAATAAAAATAAAAGATCAAGAACATTTATTTTTGGGTTGGTGCATTGAACTTAGGATTTGCTTTTGTTTACGCGCGCCATCCGATATGCATACACATATATATTTTTTTTATTGCTATGATAAAAATAAAATAACAGCTTTTAAATCTTTTTCTTCATCAACAACTTTGGAAATAATGAGGTCATAAATATACACGTTTTCGAGACAGCTGTAGTATGTACTCATTAATATTCTTTGACAAATATCCATCATACTGCAGAAGATATTTATCCCTTCCCTTCCAACTCCCAAAAGCCGCATAACAAATACCATTCTTCGATTTACTTCAAAAGATTTATTGACGAATGGACACGATAGTATATATTGTATACTTTCGCAACTGCATTGTAATGCAATTTTAAAACCTAGTCCACGATGAGCTGTTCGAGAAAATTTAATCTCTTTCCTGCATGTAGTACACAAAACTAAAGAAGAAATCGCTGTAAAAACCGTGAAAAACTCCAAAATACAGTAGCCGTAATTATTTTCAATAATCACTTCTTCATCGCTTGACTTACTCAATTCTGCTGCTGATACACTCGTAAAACTACTTTTTTGCTTTGTCGTGAATCTATTGTCGTGGAATCGCTTTTTTTTATCGATCCGGACGCGTAATCTTTTCCCTCGAGGATTTTCGATCCATTTTACTTTAAAAACTTAAAATTACAACTCAAAATATTTTTATATTTTTATTTCACTCAGAACACGCGTCCATGTGAATTGAAGGTTAGAATTCAACTGTTAACAACTGGATCTAACTGAACACTAAATATAAAAGATTATTTCAAAATTCATAAAAATTACCTTCGGTTATTGTATTTCAACATATATATAAAGGCACAAAAGGTTTTACGAGGAACGATCACAAGATAGTCCCTAATGTCTTTTGTTTGATTTGTTCCGGCCAAGCCGGTTTAAATACCGCGTCACTAAAAAACAGCTATATCTCCGAAAACAATTTGAATTTTGAAAAATAGTCTTAAAGACACATTCTTAAAGGATTAAGCTTTGAAAATATGAAAACAAATCGATTTTTTCAAATTTCTAGACCAGGATACCCCCTTAAAAATATCTTGCAAACTGTTGGATAGTTTTTAATTTCCCCCCCCACCGGTTGCATCGTCCCTCTTTTTACGGTTTTATCGTGTTTGACATTTTTTTTTCGACTCATATACTTTCGATATATTATTTTTAAATCGTCACCATGTGTAAACCATTTTTAAACGTTTCAGAATACCCCGCGCCGTTTGTTCAATCCAACAAACCCCCTGAGACGCGGCGAAAGCCTAAAAAAAAAACTTCGACAAAAAAATATTCGTCTATATATAAAACCATTTCTCTGCTTTATTTTTAAAACTCTTAAAATTTATTTTGTGAAAGCAAATTAGATACGCGTTAAACAAAACAAAAGAAATTAATTAACACGAGTAATAAAAAAAAATAAATAAATAAAATATAATGATGGTAAAAATGTCAAAAAAAAATAAAAATAAAAACAAGGTAAACTAATTTAAAAAACAAAATGAAAAAAAATGTATATCCCATAAATAGGCTTATCACCGTTTATCATGTATTTCAGACCCTAACGCGTAAAAATGTATTTTTACCAAATGACAAAGAGAATTGTTGTACTTTCAAAATACTCCGGGAATTTATTTATTCTTTTACAAAAACACACACACACGCACACGCGTATGTGTGTATGTATCAAAAATTAAATGCTTGCGTATTTTGTGTATACTATAAATACTATTGATAAAAATAAGCAAGGAAATAATACAAGACTGTTTAATCTGGAGATAAAAAATTTTCTCTAACGGCTATCTGTATTAACGACAAAAATTTTATCATGAACGTCTACTTTTTTACGCTTGCAAAATAAAATGGGAATAAATTTAAAAAAAAAAAATAAAAGAAAAAGAATAAAATGGAATTAAATTATTTTCATTGTAAGAAAGCTTCTTTATGACATCTTGTCGAACGAAATTTAGTGCGAATCAGTCAAAGAAATATGAAATGGCGGATACAAATTCCAATAAATTTGTTTTCCAATATGTTCATTGTTCGTATTTTGTCAAATAATCTTGTTAAATATTTACGACATTCTGCGAACTGATATTCCTAAAATATATATATAAAAAATATTTAATACAAAAAAAGAAAAGAAAAAGGAAATTAAATGGAATTACTATTAAATGTCGAATAATCTAAGATAAGGTTTTTCACCAATAATATCTTTGCCAAAATAAGCAATAATTTAACTTACAAACAACCATAATGCTGATCTATCTTCTCTCCACTCCCGTAATGGTCCGTGTAATGGATTTAGGCGTCGCCACAGAGTTCTATGTTAGTATATCGTGTCCACAAACAGGGGGCATACCGCTCTTATTGCATGTGGTCGATAGGCAAAGAAAGTATCATCATTTCTTCTTGTACATTCAACAGAATCCTCTACTACGCATGCCTGATACACATCTGCACATGCGCATTAATTTAATTCTCCGTTACTGACATTACAAAGAATGATAATTAGATATTTATAAACATAAATGTCAATTTTAAACAATAATTTTATTTAAAATACTTTTAAGTGAATACTAATTATTTTGTTGGTAAAAGTATAGTTTAAATAGTACATTAATATTTTAACTAATCACGAGGATGGACTGTTTTCTCATCGACCAATAGCAGTCTCGTATTTTAATGCAGCCAATACTATTTTTATAGATGTAATCTCGTCGTATATATATTATGAAATTTAGTTATATTATTTAATATTACTTATAAATTTTTTTGTATAATATTTCATATAATATTATATTTATATATATATATATAATTTAATTAGTTATATTACGGTAGAAATACTATACATTGTTTTTATTTATAAAATAAGAAACGTCACTATAAAATCGTTATATTTATAATCTACTACTAAAAAATGTGAAAAGCATATTTTAATTAATATATACAGTTTAATGAAACTAAAAAGCATAAAAGATGTATAATAAAGTAATTTTAAATTTAGATAACTACCATACCATAGGATAGAGAAAGCTTTTCCTGACAAAACGAAAAATACGAAAGTTTGTGGATGTTTCTAAATTGTTTCACAAAGATATTATGTCTCTACGTCTGGTATAGGTGTTTCTTCTGTTTTTGATTCTAATGAAAAAGGTGGTATTCTACAATCGAATGCATATCCATCTTCTCTTTCCATTCTGAATGTTCCCCTGAAATAAAGTGTCAAATATTTAGGTCACTTATTTGCCAAATCGATTGACACCACGAAATCAAAAGTAAAGAAAACTGATAAAAGCGAAGTTAATTTCTATGGGCTGTGAATAGCCCAAATAAAAGTATATGAATGACATACCACATGTGACCACTCGGAGCTTGTAAACTGACATGACTACTATATTGAAATGCAGGCAAAGTTTTTGATAATACAGGCTCCTGTCCTACGACCCCTCTTCCTCTTACAGTTTCTAAGGTACCAGAAAGACTAAATATTCTCCAATGCCTTTCTCTTAATTGTACACTCAAATCTCCTAAATTTTCCAAACGAATACAATATCGCCACTATACAAAAGAGAAATAAATATTATAATTAAAATATACATATATAATATAGTTTATATAAATGATATATCATCTATGATTCTTAAAAAAATATAATGTACCCAATAAACGGATGCAGCTTGATTTTCTCTACAACCCATATAAAATGGTATCACAGTAATACGAATATTCTCAGTTGTTTCCTTATGAACGTCAGACAATTCTAACCACGGATGATTCTTTTTCTGCCAAGCCTTCAATGTCTCTTGAGCAACAAAACATGGATCTCTTTCTGCATCATAAGTCAGAAATTTATCAAAGAGTTCATGTTGCAAAGCAGTTTTCTCGTTGGTAGTATACGGCAAAATATCTTCATGAGCAACGTAATCTAAACCTGGTATTGCATACAAACTGCGGCTGCTTTCGTGATTACCCAAAAATGTTACTGCTTCGGTTTGAGCACGCTATGAATTATTTTAAAAATTACAAAAATTTGTATGTATATATTTGTAATAAATATGATAACGAATATGTATAAACAATATATTATCTTACATACTATGTATGGACAATCTCTTTGATCTATTAGAACCTGATAAAACGTGTGAGTCCTTCCTTTGACTTCCTTACCAACACTATTGAAATTCTCATCGCTGTCTCTTCAAAGGAAAATAATTTAAATGTCTCTCTTGAGATATACTAATTTTATAGCTATCAGGTATGTACAATTATATATAACGTACTCTTCTTTAATATTCGGTATATCCCTGTCATATACTCTTGCCAGCCAAGGAAATAAAATGATTCCACGGTAACCAAAAACTCTATGCAAGATCAACTGACCTGTATCGTATTTTCCTTGTAACTTAGGAGTTTCAAGTTTTCCAACCTCGGCTAATCTGAAATATTCATTCCTGTCAAATGATTTTTCTATTGACAACTATCATACTCATTTATTTTTTATCATCTACTTTTGTCATTTCATAATACAACTTAACCATAAATATTGTGGCACACACACATATATATAATTATACATGCTTTATAACCTATAAACTTTTGCAATCTTATCTAATAAATATAAAGCAATAAAAACTATTTCACGTTAATAAAAACTCACGCTTTTTTTAAAATACATTCGTATAGATTATATAGTAGTTGATATTTTCAAATATTTCAAAAAAAATATTTTCTTAAAACGCACATTTTACAGACTGCGTACTTCGTACCTGATACTTCTTGTTTGTTGCACGTTGAATATTTTCGTTGAATTCAAAAGAAAGTGTTTTAAATTACAAGCAATGAAATTTCGTGAGAAAAGATCCATCTTTCTTACTTCTTTTTTAAACGACTGTTACTCGATTTTTATAAGAAGGATTTATTCCTCTTGTTCGAGTGTCAAAAAATAGCAATCTAATTTCTCTGGCATTTCTACTGAGTTTGACTGAATATGTTGAAGAGTGGTAGGTTATATGTTTTTATATATGTATATTTCATATGTATTTACGTGACTATTTGTCCATGATAGAAAAAGAAAAATATTGTAAACAGAGATAGTGAATCGTATTTTTCGTAGTAAATCTGATCTAAACAATAACGAATCGATTTGAATCAATCTGAATTGTCTTGTAGTGAGAACACTGCTAAAGGCATAGGACATTTTAGATGGCGCGCGTGTAGCCAACCCAAAAAAGAACCGCGTTTGAGTAGTGAGAGGTTATTCTTTGTACCGTAAGCATTTATGATTATATTAAAGATAATAATATATAATAAAAAATATCATATCTAATTATGTATTCTCTCTCGTTTAATGCATTGTAGCTTTTAAAAGCCATAAACAATGATGCAAATGTAATAGGCAATAATCAAAACTTTGAATGAAAATTTTGACAGATTTTCATTATTTCACAATTTTTTTTATATGCAACTAAAAGATTTAAAATTAATTGCTTTTTAAAAAAAAAAACAGATAGTCTTGTTTTAATATGAATAAAATCTTATGCCAACAACTCGTGACAAAAAATGTAATAGATAAAGCACGTGATCTAACACAAATAATTACATCTGTTCAAATATACTTCCTTTTAAATTTTGACTTCCCTTCATTGACAGAATTCTCTTTGCTTTTATTAATCATATAATTGTTATTGCTCCATTTTACGGTGTAATTAAAAATATTTGAATACAATATTTACTAAATATTTTATATTAATTAATTAATTTTAAAAACTTTGTTCTAGTTTTATTGTTTTAATTTACTAATATTTTTAATTTTAGATTAGAATTAGTGAGAAAAAAGTATCAAATTTAACATACATACTATAAAATATTTTAATTTAAATCTTTTCCAATTCTTTTTCTTCTTATATTTATATAAATCAATTTGGAAAAGAAAATTGTATAACTTGATTTATTACAGACGTCAATGATCATCAGTGATTAAATTGGAAGAAGAAACTATAACCTAGAACTTATTTTCCATCGAAATATTAATATGCCCAAAAAAAAAACAGGTCAGAGAAGAAAAGCTGAAAAGCAAAAATTAAGACAAAAAAAAATTAGAACTGCTAAGGAGCAAATAGACATAGCAAAGCTACCATGTAATTCAGTTATGGTAAATATTAGATTTAAATTGAGATAACTGGATTTTCATTCTAAGATCATTTCTTACAATATATTTGTTAAATATTTATTCCATTTAAATGATTATGTGATTTTATTTATAGGAATGTGACAAGTGCAATAAAAAACAGAAAAGTCGTGCCTTCTGTTATTTTTGTCAAAATGTGCAACGTTTGCCTATGTGTGCACATTGTGGCAAAGTCAAATGTATGTTAAAAACAGGAGATTGTGTAGTAAGACATCCTGGTATATTTACTACAGGTCTGGGCATGGTTGTAAGTATAAACAAAAAGTTTACTGTTTGTTACATTGGGAAAAACAAAATTAAAATGAAATATATTTTCCTTATAAAGGGAGCTATATGCGATCATTGTGAAGCCTGGGTTTGTCATGGAAGACGTTGCTTAACATCGCATGCATGTACTTGCCCATTGATGGATGCCGTTTGTCAAGAATGTGAAAGAGGAGTTTGGGATCATGGTGGAAGAATATTCCGTTGTTCTTTCTGTAATTGTTTCCTGTGCGAAGATGATCAATTTGAACATCAAGCATCATGTCAAGTATTAGAAGCTGAAAGTTTCAAATGTGAGAGTTTGATAATTTTTGTATAATTTTGAAAATGACGTTAACACATTTCGTAATATTTTCAGGTAAGTCGTGTAATCGTTTAGGACAATATTCGTGTCTTAGATGTAAAACATGTTATTGCGAAGATCACGTACGTAGGAAAGGATTTAAGTATGAAAAGAATAAACCTATACCTTGTCCCAAATGTGGATATGAAACATCACAAACTAAGGATCTTAGTATGTCCAGTAAGTATTTTAATCATGAACGAGATTCTTAATTTCTATAAAAAATGAACAGCAAAATTCATACTTTCGTTTTATTTTTTTTAATAATCTCTTACATACAATTCAAATTTTTAAATGCTCCATATTTTTTATATTTAGCGAGAAGTCATAAATTTGGTAGACAAACTCAGGCTGGACCATATGATTCAGACGAAGAAAATGATTACAATGGTTACGGTAAAATGAATGCTATAGTTTTTATAATTTTAAATCAATGTAATATTTCAATTAAATTTTTTAATTTATATTTTCAAAAAGGTAACAATTCAGAATATTATATCGCTAATGATGATGAAGAAGATGAGGATGAAAATGATGATGAAGACGATGAAGAAGATGAAGAAGATGAACAAGAAGATGAATCTTCTAGTGAAGACGAAGTAAAGGATAACGATAAAATGAGCAAAGAAATATAAAAACCATTAAGCAATAAAGTGAACTTCACGTGTGAAAAATAAATAAAAAAGTATGCAAATTTAAAATTACTTTATTAATAATACTATAAAAACAGAATCATATAAATAAAAACTAATTTGAGAAATGTCAATATTATCATTTTGCAATAGTGAAGTTTAATGAAAACTAATAAGTCAAATCTTTTGATATATATATATATAACTGAATTGAACATTTGGAAGAATTTAATGTTGCAGTAACATGCAAGATAATATATACAGTATGATGCAGATTTTCAAATGATAATAATTTGATGCAGAATAATATAATTCTAATTTAGAAAAGATAATATTAATCTGATATATCCTGGGCTAGATTTAAAACAACATTTGTGTCAGATATAATAAACACGTGTAATCGAATAATTTCTTTTTCTATCACAAAATAAAGAGACATAAGAAGTATCAATTATTGTACAACCTTATTTATTATATGTTGATTTTACATGTAATAATTACAACTTGTTATAAAATTATTAATATATATTTTCCAATAGCAATTGAAAAATCATACATTATACACGTAATGACGTATATTCTGACGGGAATGCAAAAGTATGTGCACCAATGGCATTAATGCTTGGCAATAATCCTGCATTCGGTATTATATTCCAAGATAATGTTAATGTTACGTTTTTGTTACCTCTAAAAACGATTAATTTGTAAGTAAAATAATAAATTTACAAAATAAAATATCAATGAAAAAATAATTACCTCAAACCGTTACCATCATCCCAGAAATAATATTTAGTGTTCATATTTTTAAAATCTAGAACGGCATTGTCTCCACGCAGAACTATTTTGTCCCATAAAACTACCTGAGGTTACAAAATTAATCAATTTCAAGATTATAAAAATCTTTCGATAGATTTTATAAGCTAATCATATAACAAACTGAAAAAACTCATACCTGATTAAAATCATTATTGCTTGTTTGATATTCTGCCGTAAGATATAAGAATAATTGTTTAACATTCCAGTTAAACAACGGAGTGAGATGTATATATTTTATAAGGAAATCATATTACATACAAAATTTTAATAACCCATTACACTCAAAGGTTTCTTCTACTCAAATAATGATTACCCAACTTTCCCAGAAAGATTTAATTTGCAATCTCTTATAAAAATAAATGAAGTTATTATGATTTGTTTTTATCATTATGTATAAACTGGAAATTATTTATTAACAAAATTATTAAATAAAAATAGTTCTGGCTGGGGGCCTTTAAATGTAAAGGGTTAAATCTAATTAGAAACTATTGATATAAAAATATATATGAAATATTTAGGAATATGCAAGTATTGTATAAAAAGGATATCAGTTTGAAGGTCAAATATCAAATAACCGAGATCATTTTTCACCTTTGAAGCACTATAATCTGGCATATTTTTTCTGTAAAATAAATGTATCTTAACAATTATTGATTACATACTATATAATATGATACACGAATAAAAAAAAAATTGCACCATATTGTTTGAAATGACAGTATATATAATGTCAAATAATATTGTGATAATATAAAATAATTTATTATAAATAATATAAATATAAAATCCAAATGAAATACTTACACGACTACTTTGACTGTATTTAAGGATGCATTTGCTCTATAATCTATAAAAACAGTTGAAAGGAAACAACAAAATGTAAGACAAGCCGATACGCTTAACGTATATGCTAGAATAGCATTTCCACGTGTCAAAACCGTATGCATTTTTTGGTTTTAAAATCTTCAATATAAACTAAAGTTCATTTAATTATATATCAATTAAGGTTATCTGAAAACTGTTAAGTTATACATCTACAAATTCTAACCAAAATCATTCTTCTGTGAATTTCAACGTCAGCACCAACTCAAAGAATACAGAAATACATAGAAGTTAACAAGACCCTTTTTTATCTAACCACATTCATCTTAGTTACTACCGGGAACACTAGTGGGCGATGGTAGGTACTTAACGCGATGACGGTACAATACTATAAAAAGATAGTGTATTCTTTGATAGTATAAATATAATACTTTTATTGTAGTAAAATTTTAAATAAATATATTTAATTTTTAATGTATAAACATGTGTGTGTGCCTTCAGAAATGCATTTATGCGTATATTTTAGAATGCAACTTTAAAGCAACTTTAGATTCATTTATTATTTAAATATTTCTCTTATTTTTTTCATATATTGCTGATACTCTGTACCGCGAGATATAAATCAGTATCGAACGATTCAAAAGTCTTTGCGTTTTCTTAAAAATTAATTTTTTTACGAGAAAGTGAAGATAGCTGAATACGTTGGATACTTACTTAATATTAAGTATATTAACGCTTTGCTCTTTAGTAATTTCTAATGAATACTTCATTTGTTATATATGTATAGTAAATACAAAGTAGAATAAAGATAAAAGATAAAAGTGGTCGAGTAAAAAAGTAAGACCATAAGATGTATTACAAAGTTTCTGCTTTCATTTGATATTATTTAATTTTTTAAATGCAAAGTGTTAATAATAGGTTCATCGATTAGATCAAATATCTGTTGAGGCATTCGAGTAAATGTAACTGTACGACTTATGGATTTCTTTGGGCTGCGATTTTTCAGCAAATGTATTATAAAATGCGCTTAGAAAAAGCCTCACAGCAGCGTTTAGGGCATGAAGAAAGAAGAAGCATTATGCCGAAGAGGCCCCCCCACTTAAATGTGGCTGAAGAGGGCAACTACTATTGACGCTATGGAGTTATTTTCAAAAGTTCAACAGCAAGTTCGAACTTTTCAAAAATAGCTCTCTAGTCATATTTTATATTTTATTATATTACTTTTTTGCTCGTCATTAATTTGTAATTGTAATTGGAGATGATGGACCATTCCATCTCCTTGGGACACCAAATTCGTGTCTATATCGTCTAAAAGATGCATATGTGTTTAATTAGAGAGAAAAATATTATAATTTTCGTATTATTAAATTTTCAAGCTTAAATAACGTTCGGTAAATATTACAGTAATTTCTCTTTTCTTTTTCGTCTTTAAAATTTTTCACTGTAATCGTATTTTATTAAATTTACAATTTTTCTTTTCTGTGTATAATGTAGTTTAAAAGTATTTCACAATAATTAATAGATATTATTTTTTTTTGTAACTTAGTATTTTTACTTTTCCTATTTCTTTATTTTTATTTATTTTATGTAAATGTAAAATCACGCGTTTAAATTTAATTTCATTGCAACGACTAATATAGAGATTTCTTCAAAATAAATATAGAATTCAATTGAAAAGTGCATCTGCGAATTGGACGATTTATATGTCACGCTATTGTATCACTTTTGTCTGTATGACTAATATAGTTTTCTTCTTGTTACAGGTGATCATCGTTGGATTTATCATCAAACCTTCTGGATTGTTTTTTATTTGAGTGTCTGAAATTGCTTCATTTTAAAATATACGCATAAATGCATTTCTGAAGGCACACACACATGTTTATACATTCAAAATTAGATATATTTATTTAAAATTTTATTACAATAAAAGTATACTATTTTATGCTATCAAAGAGAATATATCATATACTATCATTTACTATCAAAGAATAGGGTATTTTTGATTTTTCAATTATTAATAACTAATTAAATAATTAATTAATAAAGTGAGCAATTATATTGATTTTCATTGAGCAATGCGTGAGCAATTAAGAGTATTTATTTATTTTTTTTTTCTGTTGCGGTTCTATGCCAACTTTTTTGTGCTACTTCTGTATTCTTTGACCGAGTAAACTAGTATACGTAAAACTTATCGACTAGTTTACCTTTAAGATATGGTAAACATAACCACAAGTGGGGCGCCGATAATGAAAATTTGTAGGTAGTCTAGGAAATCTAAACAAGACGACTAGGGTTATTAATCTCTGTTCGTTTCCTTAACCGTTAACTCACGTGCTCTGACGTTTTTAAACAAAACACGTTACTCTTACATTCATTTTTTGTATCTTTCTTCGTCTAAACTTCCTTTTTACGTTTGTGCATCAACCGCGTATTTGTGCGATATTACAACAACCTTCTCATTTGTAGTGAGTTTCTATTACAAACTTCATGAATAAAACATTATGGAAATTCAGTTTATTTTTACGTTAGATTAATTCAATAAATAATATTTTATTGTATTATTTCCTAATAAATTTATGTTGTTATAATGTTACCATACTTCGATTTAAATAAGAAGAAAATATATCAATTTTTTGAATTTTTGCATGATAATGTTACTTTTTATTGCTGTAATTTATTATATATTAGTAAGTCATTAATTTTTATTTTAAATATATAAATGTATGCATGACATTAATATTAGTATGATTTTTTTTTCTTTAATAGTGCATATTTTGTCCAAAATAGTTGCTGAAGTTAGTGGACAGTGTGTTTTTTATAAGCCAAGAAATTTTCCGTGGAACAACGTGGTGATTAGACAATAAAAGATCTTACTTTGAACGTGTTCGTTATAACTTAAATGAATTATAAATAGAAAATAATGGATTCTCAATACAAGTTTGTATATTAACCTTTACCCTAAATTGACTTTTCAAAGTATAGGAATTTTAACCTAAAAATCATGATCTTTTTAAAATATATTTTATATATTATTATTTTAATTGATAATAATTAATTATATTATAGATCTTAATTGTTCATATATTTTCAGAATAATTCATCCTGTAAAATATCTACATGACCATCTGGTAAATATATATATAAATATATATCATAATGTTATGTTAATGTATTGATATTACATATAAATTAATATATAAAATTTTTGTTTACTATAGGCCCAAAATATAAGACCAGATGGAAGACAATTTTTATCCTTTCGTCCAATAAGCGTTAATGTATCTTCAATAACTCAAGCTGATAGTTCAGCGATATTTAAAATAGGAAATACTACAGTAATTTGTGGTATCAAAGCTGTAAATATACCTTTATTAAATATTCAAATTACATCATTCTAAACGACTAATTATCAAAATTTAAAATATTTATTACATAGGAATTGTCAGCACCCAAAGCGGAAACCCCTGACAAAGGTTTTATCATACCCAATGTTGAACTTTCTCCATTATGTTCTCCCAAATTTCGTCCAGGTCCACCAAGTGAAGAAGCTCAGGTTATTTCTCAATTGGTAGAAGATATTTTAACTAATTCTGCTACAATAGATCTTAGAAGTTTGTGTATTTGTGAAGATAAATTAGTATGGGTATTATATTGTGATCTTTTGTGTATCAATTATGACGGTGCAGTTGTAGATGCCTGTACTGGTGCATTAGCATGTGCTCTTAAATCTTGTAAGTTTTATCCATTTATAAATTTTAGAGAAATAACTGATATCGACAAACAATATATAATTAAAAAATATATCATTATTATTATTATTATTATTATTATTATTTACTTTATAGTAACCTTACCACGAGTAACTTATGATCCACTCAACGGAAATACTTGTGTACAACATGAAGATAGAATTTCATTACAAATCAAAACTATACCTGTTAGCACAACTTTTGCTATTTTTGATGGGTATGTTTTTTTCTATATATATATTCTTATAACATCTATAGTTTATTAGAAAAAATCATAAATTAGATCAAAAAATAAAAGTTTGGTTGTATCATAGGCAACTTTTAATTGCTGATCCAACAGATGATGAAGAAAGCTTATCGTTAGGAAAATTAATAATAGTGTCAGACGAAGAAGCAATATGTTGTGTGCATAAACCAGGTACATGTATTATTAAAATATTTCATTACAAATATATAAAATTATACTTAAAATATTGTAGAAATTTTAATTGATGACAACAATTTTTGTTCAGGTGGTATTCCAGTATCAAAAGATTTATTTATAAAAAGTTTAGAAAAATCTAAACGAAGAGCCGAGTTAGTGCGATCATTGATAAATACTGCTATGATAACAGTAGTAAAAAATAAGTCGAATATATTAGATGAAAATGCTATGGAAATAAGTAAATGAAGATTTAATAAATTATACATTATTTTTCTTTTGTATTTATGATTTTCATATATATTTTGGTCCTATTTCAGAATATATATATTATACGTAATTTTTTAAGAATGGAGACTTTAAAATTTGTATTTTATTAAGTAAATAGAATTAAAAGTTTTGGAAATATATTTTAATAAGAAATGAAAACAATCAAAATAAATTATAAACTATTTGTATAAACAGGTTTTTCGCATGATTCGCATAAATTCATCTTGAGAAATTTCTCCATCACCATCTTTGTCCGCTTCATCAATCATTTCTTGTAACTCTTCATCAGTGAGATTTTCACCTAATTCTCTGGCAACGCGTTTCAAATTTTTGAAAGATATCTTCCCAGTCTCATCGTCATCAAAAAGACGAAATGCTCTCAAAACTTCCTCCTTTGGATCTTTTTCTAACATTTTAACAGACATTATACGTAAGAATTCTTCAAACGATAATTTTCCAAGACAATCTGGATCATAATCGGCTACAAGTTTCTTTAACTCTTCCTTCTTCGGTTCAAAACCGAGAGCTCTCATTGCTACTTTAAGTTCTTTAGTTGCAATTTTGCCTGTACCATCTGGATCAAATAGATCAAAGGCTTCCTTAATGTCAGCTTTTTCATCTTCTGTTAATTCTATTTTTGAGCTACCTTTTCGCCTCGAACTAAAATTATTTTTTTTAGAAGTTGAAGCCTATGCAAAAATATACAAAATATTAATATTAAAAAAAAATAAATAATCCACAATAAAAAATAAAAAATAATACTAACCATAATTATTAATAATATATTAACTATACTGTTGATCACCGTTTAAGAAACAACCTACAATTCGCTTTTGTTTTGGAAAACAAAACTTTTAGTTAAGATTTCCTGTATAATCAATGAACGTTTTATGTATATAAGTATGTGTGTAAACATACTTGAATTTGTCATTATTTCATTCTTTCATATTTTAATATATGATAAAAAGAAAAAATTATAATTAACAATTGCATTTGTTTTCATATCATCTCCTCATATCAAGTCTGATATATAAATATGTAATATATAATTAAACTTGCTGGTATATGTGTATATGTCAGTTTTCTAAGTTCTATCAAAAACCATAATGCATCTGCGTAATGTTTAAAAACTATGTTATTGGTCAACCTAATATTATTGCTTGGAACCATTGCATTGAACAACCATCCAAAATCCATATCAAATGTCTGATATTTTGTATGTAAACAAAAATCTTGATTTTAATTTATTTATTTAATTAAAAAATAATTTCATTTTTAAAAAATATTTCTATTTTCAATATTGAATTGATTAAGAAATCAACTAATTAGAATTCTGGATTCTTAGCCAATCAGAACGAAGTGTAGAGGCAGCACATAGCATAGCATATCGAAATAAACTCTACACGCAATCTAGTATTTTTATACTTCTGTATAATAGTTAATTTACAAAGTGGTATTTTCTGCAAGTAATAGTGATTGTTAATTTATTATTGTGTATATTGTGTTTTTCTTATCACATTTATTATTAAAAAATGGTATTTATATAAATTTTTTATATTATGAATTCACATAAATTATTTTATTAAATTTTTTAGTCACTAATGACAGTATTATTTGGCATATAATCTGTATAAATTTGTATTTTGTAGTTTGATGTGATATGATTTTGTAATTTGAATTTATTAATAATAATATTTTTATTGTAGAGTATTAATATTTTATTTTCATTTTATTTCTATTTTTCTGTTCATTTATATAAATATTTCTTTTAGGTTATATATTATTTTCACTATCTTTTCTCATTTATAATTTGTAGATTATTATTGTTTTATTTTCACCAAAAAGCAATTAAATAATATCTTATTTAAAATGTTTGAATGTGATAAAAGTTATGAAAACTTGTACATTTAGTAACATAACTTTAAACTAATATTACATTTCTATATTTTATAGTTCCGTAATCAGTATGACAGCGATGTCACTGTGTGGAGCCCACAGGGTCGCTTACATCAAGTGGAATATGCAATGGAAGCTGTCAAGTTAGGGTCGGCAACTGTTGGTCTTAAAAATAAGACTCATGCTATTCTTATTGCACTTAAAAGAGCATCCTCTGAACTTTCCGCTCATCAGAAAAAGATTATTCCCATAGATAAACATATGGGAATAACTATTTCTGGTCTTACTGCTGATGCTAGAATATTAAGGTTATTCTTTAAAAATATTTTCTTATCAATGTGTATAACATTTTACAAAATTATTTATATCTAATATCATATGCTATTTTATTCTAGCCGTTATATGAGAACTGAATGTTTAAATTATAAATATTCTCATGACGATGTACTCCCTGTTAGTCGTTTAATAGCAGCATTGGGAAACAAGATGCAAACTTGTACACAAAGATACGATAGACGACCATACGGTGTAGGATTGTTAGTAGCTGGCTATGATGTAAGTTGAAATAATAATACGTGTAATATTTAGTATAATACATTTGATAATATCATTAGCATAAATCATAAAAGATTATTTATTTATATAAAATGAACAATGGAATATCTAATAAATTTCATTTTATTTATCAATACCAAAGGATCAAGGTCCTCATATATATCAGACTTGTCCATCTGCTAATTACTTTGATTGTAAAGCAATGGCTATTGGATCTCGTTCTCAGAGTGCACGAACGTATTTAGAAAAACATCTTAATGAATTTTTGTCATGCGATCTCGATGAACTTGTGAAGCATGGACTTAGAGCATTACGTGATACACTGCCAAACGAAGTTGATTTATCGGTTAAGGTATGAAACAAAATTAATACAGAATATTAATAATGCACAGATATTTCAATAAGTATTGAATCACATAACGCATGTCTAAATATAATTTTGTTATCGTAGAACGTTTCTATAGCAATTGTGGGTAAAGGGACTGAGTTTACTGTCTTAAATGAGTCAGCAACATCTGATTATTTAAGCCAAATAGAAGGAGATGATAAAAGAGGAAGACCAATTGAGCCAAGTGTTGAAGATGATAGTAGACCACCTCAAGATCCACCTGCCGATGAGGGTCCACATGATCCACAAGTTGCTGTTGCAATGGAAACAGATTAAATTGAAATATAATAAAAATATTATAACTTACATACAAAAAATATGGTCACTTTATTTTCAAGTTTTGTGTTTTAAATATTTAATGTAAGAGAGTTAAATACTTATTCATCATCAAGGCATAAGACATTTCATGGTGATTTATTACATTACAAACATCTTGAATTACAAATTTGTATCATTTTTTATATATAATATTATACATTTATTTCTACTACATATTTTATTGGTACATTAACATTATTTATAGTTCAGAAGGAGTTTTGGCTTTTTGTTGATGACGATCTTTTAAAATATTTGTTAAATAGAATTCGCCAGCTTTGTATGAAGATCGCACTAATGGACCACTTGCAGTATACAGGAATCCTAATTGTTTTCCCATATTTTCCCATGATTTAAATTTACTTGGTGTCACGTATTCTATTACTTTTAAATGTCTTTTTGTAGGCTGCATGTATTGTCCTAATGTTAAAGCATTTACTCCAGCATCTCTTAGATTTTTCATCGTTTGCTCTACTTCATCATCGGTTTCACCCAATCCAAGCATGATCGATGATTTCGTTATTAAATTTTCATTATATTCCTTAGCTATTTTTAGGACTTCCAAGGACTGCCTGACAAAAATATGAAACAACATGTTATAATTACAAACATAAATATCTTTTTCTAGATAAGTATAAAGATATATACTTATAATTAGCTCGTCTATCTCTCACAAATGGTGTTAATCTCTCCACAGTTTCAATATTATGTGCAAACACATCCAGATTGGAAGAAACGATAGTTGCGATGCTATTTCTGTTTCCTCTAAAATCCGGTACTAAACATTCAACAAAAATATCGCTTCTACAATAAATAAATGTAAATAAATTAATGAATGTATATTACGATAAGAAGCAAAGTATTTACAAGTTTCAAATAAATTACCTAGATTTAATCTCTTTTACTGTCATTGCTATATGTTTTGCTCCACCATCGCTTAAGTCTGATAATAATGTAATATGATATTATATTTTTGTTTTATATTATTACAAAATCAATATGCATTAAAGCTTTATAACTAACCGTCTCTATCAACAGAGGTAAGAACAACATAATCTAAGTTCCAATCTATTATTGCGGTTGCTGTATTAACTGGTTCTTCAGGATTTAATGGTGGTGGTGCACGAGATGTTTTAACGGAACAAAATCGACAGCCACGAGTACAAGTGTCTCCCATTAACTAAATGACATTTCATTCTTTGCAATATATTCAATTAAATAAGACTATGTTACTTTAAGTTTGTTACCATAATAGTAGCAGTTGCAGTACCATGACTTCCTCCGCCCCAACATTCTCCAATGTTAGGACAACGAGCTTCTTCACAAACTGTACTTAAACGCAGCTGCCTCAATTGCGATTTGATTTTACTATAATTTTTACCCATAGGTATCTCTGTCTTAAGCCATGGTGGTAATTTCAATCTGGTATTCTCTCCTTTCTCCAATTTTAATTTTCCTTCATATTCTATATAATTGTTGTCAATAAAATCCTCAAATTGTGGACCATTTTCCAATTTTTTAGAAAATGTTTCATTTATTTTTTCAGCACATTTTATACACTATTACAATTAATTAATTTCAATAGGATTTGTTTGTTAATGTAAATAATATATGTAATAATAATAATAAAACTTACTGCAGTATGAAAATTGTTTAAACCAAATGGTTTGAAATTAGTTACATAAACAGTTCGCAACATGTTTATAAATTTAATTTAAAATTGTTTAATCAATTATTTGTTTACTGAAAAATAAGTAAAAATTAATTAGGTTATTTTGATCATTTTCTTAAAATTATGTATGTGTTAGTATACAATGGATGTGATTGACGTAAGAATCATGCCATTTGATTGGCCGAACATTGGTAACATTATTAAATACAACACGACCTTTTTCTTCATCGATTTTAAAATCGATATAATTTTATCCAACTTCATGCCTCCCAACAGTTTATTTTTTGAAGGAGCAGCAACTTCAAGCCGATAAAGATGGTATACAGTGGTGTTTATAGTTGTCATATAAGAATGTGTTGTTTGTGATAGGGTGTATTGTCTTTAATCGTGAAACATTTATTATTTGGATATGTTGTATTCGGTGAGTAATTAAATATTATTCTTATTTTATTAATAATATTGGGTTCGAATAAAACAATTAATTTTGATCATTTCAATGAAATTTTTAGAAATAAATTATTTCTAATTAAATATATATATACTATACATTTATAAGATTTATTTTAATTTTATCCATCAAAAAATCAAACACTGATAAGAAAACAATATGTTTTATAGAAATGATTTATTTATATAATAGTAAAAATGATAAAAAATATAATGTATTTTTAAACGTCAGATAAAAAATTATTTTATTTAATGGTTTTCAGGATAAAAAAGGATGGGGTGTATCAATAGTCGTGCGGATATCAATGATCTATATCCAAATATATTTCAAGTGATAAATGTTGATGATTCCGGTAATTGTGTTACTCAAGGACGTTTAGAAATAACAGATACAGATATAATTTTATATCAACGTGATAAACAGTCTATCAAATGGCCATTAAAATGTTTAAGACGATATGGTTATGACGCTGAAATCTTTAGTTTTGAATCAGGTAGAAGATGTTCTACCGGGCCTGGTATTTATGCTTTTAAATGCCGTCAAGCAGGACATTTATTTAATCTTGTTCAAACTCATATCCAAGTATGTATTTCTTTCTTTTAGTTTTTTTATAATGCAAAATGTTCCAAGGTTTACCAGTCAAACAGCACAAACATATTCTACGGGTGAAACTAAGAAATAAATGTTATTTGAAGTTCAGTTTATTACCGCAAGTTAAAAACTATCACAGTTTGATCGGTAAACCTTGTGTCACTTTATATATATATATGTCATGTTATATATTTTTAACCCACATTACGTATTTGTTAACAGGTATGTAATAACAGTATAGATGATAC